AACCTTTTCAGCTAAAAATATTTCATTTAATAGACATTATAAAGTTGTGAAATATATTTTATGCTGAGTCCCAACAAAACAATGTAGAGGATGAATGTATAATGTCCAGATTATGGCATGCAACTGGCTGTGCAGTGGATTGAGTCAGTTCATTAATGAGCAGAGCTTTGACAGATGCTACGAATGGAATTAGAGCTCAGGAGCCAGTCAGGGTGACTTTCATTTAAGAAACTGTGTAGTGTGCTTGGTGATACAAATGCTTGTGGCTATGATAATTTTATCTTTTTTATGCCAATATTCTCCAAATAATGCTTTGCAGCTATGAACCATGAGATACAATGAAACCTAAATGAATAAAAAATTATGACTAACTAAAGAAATAATGGAAAGAAGTATGGTGCATGTAAGTAGATTGTAGCACATTACCAATTATTGTTTTCATGCAAAAATTATAGAATATATCAATAAGGAAATCTAAAGTTAAAAATGGAGGTAGGCTGGCCATGCAGCAAGAATTAAAGACAACAGATAGACAGCCCAAATCCTAATGGTACCAATGAGATATAAGAAGCACTAGAGAAATGTTTTTAAAGTATTGGATGGATCCACTAAGATGCAGAAGAAGACATGGATAAGAATAACAGGATGAAAAGTCATGGTAATATAGAGAGGCAGCAATCACATCAGCTACAAGAATAGTTATACCAGTGATATCACAGATATCATATATCTAAATAAAAAGTCAGAAATATATAATGACTATTACACAGTAATGCATTGAAAAAATGCTTTTAAATAATAAAAAAAGAAGTTTAAGATAAAAAGCAAAAGAAAAAAGTCACTCAAAATGTAAGAAAATAAGCATGCATAACTTTTGCCACCAAAGGACAACCATCTTTGTTATTGTTGTTACAGGTATTTCAACATCATTAAATGAATGAAAAAGTCACATATTTTCATGACATACAAGAATGTTACATCTGACATGGTAAAAAAACCTTAAGGCATTTTATAATAAAAATGGCAGGAAGTAGTTTTCAGGAGCTTTTTCCCAGAGACACTAGAGAAACAAAGAAAAGTTGACATATGGCTGAAGTTTAAAATTCCATAGTTTTACATTTAAGACATGCCCTTTAGCAGAGCTTACATTGCTTCCCTTTTTATTTTTGGCATGAAAGCTGTCAGAATATTTATCGACACCTCTTTTTCTAAAGCAGAAATACTGCACTTTATCTTCAAATGGGAAATGAAGATTCAGTGTTTCCAAATTCAACTTACCTCCATTCTACCTGCCTTTCTGAGAAATGTTATCTTAATTCAATGTGTATGTCAAAGAATAGGATCATAGGTTTCCAGAGGTAAAGCTAGAAAGGATCTAAGATGTCATCTAATCCAATGTTTCCCCTCATTTTACAGGTGTAAAAACATGCCCAGAGAGACTGTGATTTGTCCAGTCATATGTCTTAAGAATAAGCACTAAATCTAGCACTATTCACTAAACCACAATGGGGGAAATTAAATGGCCTTAGTCATTTAAATGTTTCATAACAAGTCCTGGACACCAATAAAGGGACAAATAAAAAATTGTGGTCAGTTCTAGAAACTACTACTATATACCATGGCCAGAAACAATTGACCTTTCTAGGGGATTGTCAACACATGCTTAGCCATTTGAATTGTTATCTAGGAAAAAAACAAAATATGAAGCTCAATCAGTCAACAAAATTCCCTTTGCATCTACCATGTCCAAAGTGATGAGACAGGCCTCTGAACTATTTTATGTAGCCAATTGATACCTTCTAAATAATATTCAAATACACTTGGGTGGGCATCCGTAATACAGAAAACCTGAAATCAGCATATATATATATATATATATATATATATATATATATACACTTATATATATATCATGAAGTTATACATGTGTACACGTACAGGTTATATACATGTGAATGTGTGAATCATTGCTTTTATGGGAAATGAACATTTCATACTTTTCTTTTTTTCATTAAGTCAAACCTGGCACACTTGGAAACTCTAGGGCTTGAAGCATTATTTTCATTTCTAAATCCTATCTATTGACAAAGTCTTGACAAGTAGTCCGAGGGGTTAAATGATTTCCCAAAGACATATGAGCTATAAGAAATAAAAACCCAAATTATAAATCATATGATCATAAAATCATAGATTTAGTGGTAGAAGGGATCTCAAAGGTCCTCTAGTTCAACATCCTCATTCTACAGATGAGAAAACTGAGGCTAAAAGACATTAAATGACTTCCTCGAGATCACAGATTCATATTATAGGAGTCTCTCTACCATACAGTACTCTACAAATTTGGCACAGGGAAAGAGTGTTAGATTTAGTGCCAGAGGTCCAGGGTACAAATTCAATATTTGCCACTTACTATGTGTATGACCACGGGCAATTCATTTAACCTCATCAGCCCTCAGTTTCCTCATTTATAAAATAAGAGAGTTATGTTATATCAGTGGTGTCAAACTCAAGTACAAATGTATGCCTGATGGCTCCATATTGACTTTCAAAACTACAAATTACTTTTATATATAGTACTGTATTTTTACTTACTTTCTTAAATATTCCCCAGGAAGCTACATACACCCACTAGCCCCAAAGCTTGACATCTGTAAGGCCCTTTCTCAATGTGAATTTATGATGCCGATTTCTTATTCATCTTTAAAAGGGTAAAATCATTATGTAACAGGGGCACATTTTACTGATTCAGTGGTAGAGCCATATCTTACCTTACGTCTTTGGTTATCAAGGACTGAAAATACCAAAAAAGACTTGGGGGTTGACTGGGCTAAGAAATGGAGCTGACACTTACTTCAAAGCTAACAGATGCCATAGCTGCCTATTTCCACCTGATCACATGTATCCAACAATAAACATTGCTAATCTTCTATGTTATTCATGTAAATTATTTCCAGCACCTTTTAATTTGAAACTGATCAAGGAACCATCAAGCTACCACACTTAGTTTAGTTGTATCGCCCAGTAGAAGCTAAACTCTTTTTAGACAGAGAGTGTTTCTTTTTTTGTCTTTGTATATGTATATGTATATATGTATACACACATATACGCATGTATATATATGTGTGTGTATTATACCAATAAAGATTACTGAATTTGATGATTCAAAAATTTGCAGTGCTTCAAGATCAATGCTGTAATAATCAATTATCATTGTGCAGTATTACAAATAAAAAACTATAGGGTATAGGAGATTGAACTAAATTTACATTGACATAAAGGAAATCTTGAGAGTATTTTTTTATTTGAACAATTTTTTTATCATAAAGTTATCAGTAATTTCTTTCTCCTAAAAGTTTAACCCAGGGGGCAAATCTCTTTATTTCAGGGCTCAGATTAGTTGGAGTTTGATTAACTAAGGTTTCACCAAATTAAAAAAAAAACCAACAACAAAACCTTTAAAATGTTGCTTATATTTTTCTCAGATCAATGTACTCCCAAGTAAGAGATAGAATCATGATACATCACTAAGGAATAAGAAAGCTATAGGACAATCTTTCCTTTTTATAGAAACGTTCTTGCTAATACTTTCTAAATATAGAGATCATAAAAGTTGCCTAAGCCCAGGATATTAAACTATTTAATTATTAAAAAATAAATTGGGAAACAGTCATTCACTTTACAAAATATTTCAAAATATTTTCCTTTAAATTCTTCAATATTTACACACAGTTTTTAAAAGAAAATACTTGCTATAATATAAAGAGAGGTATATCTTTTGTGATTATAACATGCCTTCTCTATTGATATCTTAGGTTATTTAGAGGATTTTACCCATATGTCATATTTGTTGTTACAATACAAATACGTACCAATATGAATCAGGAAGGAAGAAAAAAAACCAAAACTGCAGTGCTGAACTTTATGTCCTTTTCCTATGAAAGAGTTTTCCTGAAGGAACTATTTGACTACTGAGAGGGGAAATTTATATCTACTATCAGAGAAGAGCATATTTCATTACAGTTGAATGACACTGTTAATGCACTGAAAAGTCAATATGTTGACAATTTCCATTCCTCAATCCATAGAAAAAAGTTCTCAATAGTGGACACAAAGAAGCTATAGGGTTCACATGAGCCCAAGTCAACAATTGGGTATGCAAATACAATTATCTATTTCAAGAGAATATAGCTGTAACCGTATCCAAGGAGATACCAATATCCAATCTGTACATACATCAAATGATACATTCAAATTCACATTAAATTCTCAAAAATACAAGTTTCCTTAAGAGCAAAAGAGATCAGAGAACAAAAAATTTTACTTTATGGCAACCCCATCACAAGTAATAGAAATTGACTGTTAGATCTTGTGTTTGTAAGTCTATGGGAATAGCCTACTGTAGGATATCACATAACTCCTTCCACTGCTATATCAGAGACAGACTGAGGACTGAAACGTGACTGACTACTGGAACAATCCAAAGATGTCCCTCTAGATAGTAACTAGAACATTCTAGGAAGCTACAATATGAGTCAATAAAATTCCTGGACCAAGAAATTAAGAAGTCAAATATAACAAATGATCTAGGAATTATTAATCATCCCATGTTACCATTTAATAGAAAAAAATATGCAGGCATAGTGTTGGGAAAAAAGCCTCTCATAATTATATTACTTACTTAGCAGACCAACATTAAGGACCAGCTTTCAGAAATACATAAAATCATCTTCATCCCCAGCTTTGCTTTCATAGCATTCAACTATTTTTAATATTCAGCCTACTACCATAACTATCAAATGGTACTTATGTATGTTTCAAGAAGGAAATAGGAAATAGGAAATAGTAGTAGGATAACTAAACAACATTATACAACACTAACAAAAACATCTTTTTTTTCCTTTTTCTCAAGACATTTGTCACATTTTGAAAAATAGAGATGGTCACCAACAGAAGTAGGTAAGAAAGTTTAAAAAAAATAACATCATTAACATGCCACTTACCATATTTATTGATGACACAGGTCCTATGCTGTTAACGTAAATGTCAACATCAATAACTGTTGGTTTTACTGTGGAAACAAAAAAAATGCAACACTTAGCATATTGTGTAGAATACAGATATTACAGTCAAACTAAACTTTCCAATGATATCTGAAATGTCCCATTTCAATGTTAAGTGTAGCCATGAAAGAGGGTGTATTCAATAGGAGCAAGATTGAAATCATAATTCAAACCTTCTATGATACAGTTTTAAGAGTTTACTTAAAGAAATAAGTAGCACTTGTATTTCAATAAGACAAATTAAGTGAGACCAGGTAATATCTGGTAAATTTATTTCAGGAAATGAAAAAAAAATTAGTTATGCCAGTGTCAAGGGGGAAAATAGTATTAACATTTCATCCTGTGATTTAGGCTCAAGCCTTCCAGAAACAATTTTATTTAATTTATCCTAGATCTAATGTCCTACTTCTAGTTTGGTGAGAGACATGTCCACACTGGAATGGTCCCTCTGTCACTCTGCCATGACTCTCTGTCCCCAGGAAATTACTACTAACTTTTATGGGTATCTTGAACAAGGACCTGATATCATAAAATACATTGGGCACCCAAGTCACTATCCTTCTGGACAATTTGGGACCTAAAGTCCTAAAGTAAAACTGAAAGAGAGGTTTTTAACATATTTCCATTCCAATTAGCCAGGTGATGTAGAAATAACAGACTGGGGCAGTTAGATGGTTCAGTGAATAGAGCAACAGCCCTGGAGTCAGGAGGACCTGAGTTCAAATCCAGCCTCAGACACATAATACTTATTAGCTGTGTGACTCTAGGCAAGTCACCTAACCCCAATCACCTCACACACAAAAAAATAATACACTATCTGAGCTGGAAGGTGCCTCAGAGGTCCTCTTAACTGTATCTGAATCAGTACCCTTCCTTTTCCCTTGACAACATCTCTGACAACTTGTTATGCAGTCACCACCTGAACGTATCTAATGAGATGGAACTCACTGATTCCCAAGGAGGAATATTTTACTTTGAGGGTCATTCTAATCATTAGGAAGTTTTTAATTTACATCTATCTGAAATCCCCTCCTTCACAGCTATTTACCTTTTGTTCCTGATTAATTCAGTTCTCTAGAAGCATCTAGGTAGCAGAGTAGATACAACCTAAGCCTGGAGGCAAGAAGCCCTAAATTCAAATCCAGCCTCAGACACTTATTAGCTGTGACCCTGGTCATAGTCACTTAAAAAAAAAAAAATCTCTATTTGCCTCAGTTTCCTCAATTGTAAAATAGAGATAATAACAGCATTATACCACATAGAGTTTTGGGGAGAATTACAAGAGATAATATTTGTAAAGCACTTAACACAGTGCCTGGTGCATAGAATGGTCTATATAAATACTTATTCCTTTCTCTTCCCTTCCCCCTTTAGAAACAGAATAAGCCTAATGCTTTAGATATTTAAAGGCAGCCATCATGCTTCCACCACCACTAACACAAACAAATTTCTCTTCTCCAGACCAAACACCCCTCATTCACCAAATAATCTTCATATGACATGCCAACAACAATGGCCTCCAAGAATTTTTGATCACACATCCCTATTTTTACAAAAAGAAGTTCTATCAAGTACTCTATTTCCCCCAAATTATTGCCCAAGTGAGAAGTTAGGAACTTTTCCCACAATTGAGTGAGGTATAGAGTAGGATACTATTGGGCTATAATTGCAGAAGGGTTGGGTTGTTTGCATTAGAGACAAACACAGGTTTGGATATCAGAAAGGACCAGATGAGCTGTAGTCAGCTCATACCAACCCAGGGGAATCAACTGTTAAATTTTCAGTGTGAGAAATTTACACTTGAGAAATCAACAAACACTATAAAATAGGGTTTGTTTTATTATTTTGTTGATTATCTGGAATTAAAGTGATGGAGAAAATCTTATAACACAGATTGAAAATAAAAGTGTCTTGAGCATAGGTTCCCACACCACACTAGTTATCAAACATTTATCAGCCTCTGGCCAAATATAACCTCTCCTCAAACTCTCTAACGAGTTAGCCACTCATTCATTGGAGTGATGCCACAGACCTCCAGTTGTAGGACCCTCACTTTGGAGACCACTGGTCCACAGTTTTTTTTTTCATAATCCCAGTTATACACCTCTGAAAGCTCTCTTCAAATAGTCAGATGGATTTGTGGTCTCACTGATGAGGCTAATCCTTCCAGTGATATAGATTACAACCCTATGCCTGTCCATCTTGTGCTATTCTTGCTCACGTCCTTTCATAATTTCATACCACGAGGCCGACGCAACATTCTGGATGATTTCCTTGAATTCTATTATGTGGAGGATGCTAATGGAGTATGCAGACTGCCCAGTGGTCATCCTTTGCAAAGTGTTTAGTCCATCATTTGTTTTCTATCATATATTTATTTGAGGCCAACCTTTATACTATGTCTTCATAATTTCTTATTTCTACTTTGTTGTACCCTATTCATGCCCAACATACACCTCTCTCTTGTTTTCTGGGTTATCATCCACTTCCATTATTCAGGGATATTCTATTAGGTATAACCCCCAAGGAATGTTGAGCTAAAATATCTATGGATGGGCAAATTTTCATTGCAAATTCTGAAAGCAAATGGCTGTCTAGACTATTAGTTCAATCTGCAAATTATGATTATTCACAACAGATATGTAACTTCTAATACATCCCTAAATAAACATCTTCATGAAAAAAAACTATCTAGCATGTCTACAGTTAATATGTACCAAAATTTGAATAGAGCAAAATAAATGAAAATGCTATTATTCAAAACAGTAAAAAAATAATCCTGGCAAGCCTTTTATCTGGAACTCTGAGGACAGAAAATTCATTTTCCACATTTTTGGATCTGCTTAAAGATAACAAGAAATCCATAACAGTTTGTTCCTTCAGATGTGCATACAGATGTAATTCGTTCGTGGGATCTTAGAGAAATCCTGCAGATCTTGTGTTTCATAGACAGAACCAGATACAGAAAAAGTTCGTACTTAGGTGAAGCCAGGTTTTAGATTTGTTGAGATAGTAGGAGTCTTAAGTAAGAACAGCTGATTGCCATCTGAAATGAAGGATTCAAACATTATTTATTTCCTGATACAAAGAACTCTTAGCAGTTGACAGTGAATAAAAGGCAAGTGTCCATCACAGAACTTTCTGCATAGAAAGGGGACAAACAGTTCCCCTTAATGTCTTTTTCCTTTAAAGTGATTATTTTTATGGAAATAAAAAGATCTAATGGCTGTATTAGCAATTACTTCAATAAGCACACTACAATTTTGCTAAATAGCTGATTGTTCACAAATGCACATTTTAATTGACTGATTTTCTCTTGCCTAGAAATGTTGAGCTGTTCATGGAAATTTCTCTTATATTAAATTCTGCCCTTCCAGTTCAGAATTTCAAGACCTCATTAAAAAGTGACAAAAAGATTACAAATTATTGCCCACACTTTCACTACGATTTTGTCTGTGGACCTGAGTAATGTACACTTGAAAGCTGTCAGTATCTTGGAAAACATACTGACAATTTTTTTTGGTAACTTGTACATAACTATGATTAAACATTGTCAAAAGACTATTTCCCACCCCTCTTTTAGACTAAGTTTTGTGAGTCACATTTGATAAGTCTTTCCAATTCAGAAGTATTATGATCTTAACTGGTATTTAGAACCAATTATTAGCTATCAATGAGTCAATCATTAAATGTTTTTTGAGTACTATGCTGTGTTGTGTCCTTATAAAAGAGTCAGAAATCTTCTTATCCTACAAACTATGTGATACAGTTAGATAGAAAAGAGATTTTCCTTATGTATATAATGATCAGATTGAACTCAAAGGTCTCTCCTAGTACTAAACCTATGGCTATATATACATTATCACCAAATTATAGAATTTGAGAATTGGAAGGGAACTCAGAAGCCATCTAACCCAATCTATATTTGAAAAAAAAATTCTTCTTACATACAAGACGTGGTAATGGAGCCTCCACTTAAAGAACAATGAGGAAGGGAAAAGAACAATCCCAATAGATTTCATTGTTAAGAAGTTTTGCTTAAAGTTTGTCCTTGAGACCATTCTATGAACTATGAAATGGTCTTCTCCATGGAATTTTAGGCCAAAATTTTTTTTATTTCAATTGTTTCATTAAATTCTGAAATGTGTGCTCTAGGATTCATATCAAGAAATACCTTGTTTTTCTCTTCTTACATGTCACAAACTCCAAGATGTACAGGTCAATCCCTTTGAAAACTTTAATTTTTTCCACAAATTTGTCCTTATTTTTTTATTAAGAGCATATCCAAAATGGCAATTCTCCTCAATTTACAGCCTAAGCTTTAAAAGAATTAAAGAATTTAATTTAAAAAGAATTAAAGTCAAGAATTTATCTGCTGTCTTGCATTTATCAGAGAGCAACAGTAAATTTCAGTATAATGATAGTTCTTCATATCTATTATACCATACTTCAATGCCAGGTTTGTCATCTATTTGGCAAATTTATTAGTCATTTCTTCTCTTTTGCCTAGTGTTATATAGTATACTTACATTGCCTCCCTTTCTTAATCCACCATGCTTCCACCCCTCCCGTTCAGATTTTCTCACTTGAGAATGTCTTATTATAGAATGCTAACTGTTTCTTTTGTCTAGTATGTTCTACATGAGTATCCATCTATTTTCTTATTCTAGTGATGAATCACATCTCAACAAACCTCAATGAAACCTACAAAGTTTAATTTTTGTCTTTGAATAAAGATCTCTCCTTAATTTTCTTTATTATTAATAGTTTGTGAATGTGTAAATAAACATCTTAGTATAAGAATTTTATAACTATCCTTTTTCTTGGCTAGTAATTCCTGTGAATTATTGTTGTTCTTGTTCAGTCAGGCCCCAATTTTTGTGATGAGGTACAACATATGTCTTTAGAACAGTGCATGGATAATAGGGAGCAGAGCCAAAATGGCAGAGTCAAAGCAGTGACTTGCTTGAGCTTTCCCCCAAATCCATCCAAATACCTATAAAAATGG